CAATATCAGATACCTCCTCCATTTAAAGTTCAGTATTTTATATTTCAAAATGGTGTGTACTCGTAAAAACACCTTTCCATTGGTTTAATTGCTCACTTGTCTCTTTAGTTGCTCAGATTTTGGATTTATGTTGGGTATAAAAAATTGGGAATCTTGAGTTGAGTTTTGTACTGTTTATGCAAAGATGATAATTTCTTGAGATGTGGTTTCAAAACCCAAATATCAAGAGAACTAAATCAATGAGTTCCGTGCTTTCAAACTTGTCGGTGCGTTATTGTTCCCTCTGCTCGAGCTTCTTGTTGCGTGATGCTTTCACTTGAGGGCAACGTTGCTGATTGCACGATGGGTTCTAACATGCCATCACGCAACAGTGAGCTGTAGGTTTGTGCCCGACGATGAAACCCAGTGCGGTACCAAACTGGTTTCTGCTGTTAAGTGTTAACATACATCTGACATGAGAATAGGAGAGAAATAGAGGGTGAAAGAGAGAAGAGAAGAAAGGAGGAAGATGGGATCGGATGGATAGATTTTGATAGAAGAGGAAGATAAAGGAAAAAACTAGAGGAGAACCGACCTAGGTTTTTCGATTGGGTTGTCTGAGAACGCACGAATCCGCATATGATGAGAGTTTTTTTTTTTTTTTTTTAAATTCATGTACCAATGGATTGACTGTGTTCTGGGACGAAGAGATAACGGGCCGAGGAAGGAGACGAGGGCATAAAGTAATTTTATTTAAATTTAATAAATAAATTAATTTAAGTTAATTATAATGGCAATCGTGTAAAAGCCATGCTTTTAGCTCCGAGTGTAACTAAAATTCTGTCCACATCATCATTTTTTTCATGCGAATTTTCCATGTAATTTTGTGAAACAAAGTTGGAGTGTTTTCCACGTTAATTAACATGCAGCATCAAAAAATTAACAAAAGGACTAAACAGAGTTGGAAAAAAAGGATTTTTTTTTTAAGTTGATAGATCAAAATAGAGTTTTAAGTTAATGTAATAGAATTTTGTATAATGAAAATAGAAACATTAGAGATAAAACTCACTGTGAGTGATCAGAATACCTTGATCAGAATTATATAGTTGGTGGCAGAATGGGAACGATGGTTCATCCATTTTTTTTTAATGGTAATAGAAGACAAGAATTAGCTCGTGGCATAATATAAGGGTAAAAGCATATTTCGAATGTGCCTCTAACTGGACACCTCAATCAACAAAGGTGGAAAACTATATCAGAAAGAGATGAAAGAAAACTAAAAAAGGTTATCTTCCTCTTTCTCAAATGGACAATCTCATCCAGACAAAACAGGTCAATATGATAGAATTTTGTAATAAAAGTAGACATAAAATATAAGTTTATATAAAATAATATTAATATTTTAATGTGATACAAAAATAAAATTTTTTATTGTTTTTTATTGTACATTTTCTAAAGGGCCAATCTCTAAATTTAATCACAAAAAGGAAAAGTGAATGAACTCTCATTCGGGGTTTTTAGAGGTCTTAAGCCCTATACAAATTATTTTAGGGATTTTTAATATAGGTTAAATCTTATTAATTGTATTATTTATAATTAAATTTACATAAATTTTTAAATAATATATAAATATAAA